CCAAACCCGCAGGAAAAGGGGCCCCACAGTATCTGGAGAGAAGAGACAGTGTGTTTAGGCATAGCAGGAGGCAGAGCGTGAGACCTAAGGAAGCACTTCCGAACAGGTGCTGTTAGCTGGGATCACAAGAGAAGGGGAGAGAGATGGCCTCTGCAGGCAGAGGGCTGGGCCAGGGGCTTCTTGAGGGGCTCCCCCCACCCAGCACCCCAGTCCTGGGGAGCTGGGGGAGGCAGTTACCTTTCTGATGAAGACTCGGCGAACTTTCTGGTCATCCCAACTGAAGGTGGTGAAGAGCTCATGGTCTCCAGTGGGGAAACCATTCTCATAGCTGGAGCTGCTGCCTGTGTGGGCAGGGGGAGGGCCATGAGGGCTCCCAATCACTGGGTGCCCCCAATGGCCACCTGCTCACAGCTCCTTTTTATCAAACTGGCTCTCTGGCCTGGCTGAAGCCCTTCTCTCCAGCTCCTTCTAAAACCTCCCCCCAACCCCCCCCAGCTCTCTCTCCCTGGTTGTTTTTCCTGTTCTGGGTCCTGAGAATGAACTGTCATCCCCCCTTCCCTCCCCTCCACCCTGGCTGGGGCTCCCTGGGGAGCAAGCTCGGCCATACAAGTGTGACCCTTCCCTCTTGTGTCCCCCACCCCCCTCCCTGGACACTCTGGGTCCTTTGTAGCCAAGGATCAGGGAGGGACAGCCAGTATCCCAGGGCCACCAGCACATCCTAGTGTCAAAGGTCCTGACCCCAGATTGAGGCCATTGGGGTGGGAACTGGGGCCTAGTTGGATGTGGTGGACCTGCTGGTGCTCCAGCTGGGAACCAGGGCTGGGGGAAGACTGGAGGAGAAATAAAGTCAGGACAAGGACAAGAAGTGGGGATGCAGTTTTGGGACCTGGTTCCAGAACTCAGGCTTTTGGGAGAACACGGGCTCCACCGTCAAATAGACCCATGTGTGGATCCCTCCTCTGAGACTGACTAGCTGTGTGACCTTGAGCAAGCCTTCTCTGAGTCTCTTCTCTTCTATGACATGGCTCAGCGATACCTACCTCATGTGGACCAAACCAAAAGATGAAAGCCTATGGCTCTGTGCCTGATGGGGACCATGCCACCCTCTCCCTAGCACCCCTCCTCTGGGCCATTCCCGAGTCCTCAAACAAGTCCACTCTGTTCTCCTCCCCTGTCCCAGTGATCTCCACGATCTTCCTCCCACCCCAACCCCACCCCCACCCACAGGAAGAGCCTCCTTGGTGTTTCAAAGCTGGCCATGGCATTGCCCTGCTCTTCGACGACTCCTACTGCCTCTTACTCACATTCAAGTTCCTTAGCAACGCCTCCACAGCCTGCCGTGCGCAGGGCCCTCCGGCCCCACAGCACATCACTCCCTTCTGTGTTTCTCCAGCCTGACTATATTTTTTCAGCCACGTGCTGTCTGGCCTCTGAGCCTCTGCATATTCTATTCTTTTAGCCTTGAACACTCATTTCCCTTTTCATTAGGCTAACTCATGCCATCCTTCAGGGCTCAGTGTGGATGCCCCTGACTCCCGGAAGCCTTCCTTGACTGTCAGACAGGTTAGGTGAGCTGCCCAGGCCTCTATCACTGTAGCTGTTTCACTATGTGGTGGTCGTCCATTTACTTGTCTACACTGTCAGCTCCATGAGGGCGAGTCTTGCAAATCGATGCATCCCCAGAAATTAGCTCAGTGCCAAACACTGTGCGTGGCACATACTTAGTGAATGTTTGTTGCATGTTGACTAAAACAAGCTGCCTTCCTGCCCCGACAGTTCCTTGGGAAATATTCCTTAAGGCAGCCAGTCCTGGCAGCCTGGATGTGGGAAATGAGGAAGGGCGAGAGAGGTGGACCCACTACAAACCAGGGGCCTACAGACCCTCACCCTCTCATCCTTCACTTCTCCTTCGTGTTCTGTCTACACCCCCCACCAAAGCCCAAATGGCCAGGCCACAGAGGGGGAGAAAAGGAGAGAGAAAGCAGTCCTGTGGGTGTCTGGGGCAGGGAAAAGGGTCCCATGAACACCAGACCTTCAACAACCTTCCAGTAGGTCACAGTGGGGTAGGTCTGCTTGGCTCTGGGCCGAGGGGGTTTGTGGTAAGAGGTGTGGACCATGATGGCCACTCCTTGTGAGTAGAAGCTCTGTCTGAGGCATTGTTCCCTAGATCTCTTCTAGAATTCTGCTGAGGGTGGGGGTGGGGGGGGTTGATAATGTGGGAGAGGGGGGCTCAGGGGCTGCTGTGGGAGGTTGAGGCGCTGAGAAGGATTTGAGGAGGGGCGCTTCCTCACAGCTTGTGGGGAACTGTGTGTTCCTAGCCCTGAGGCAAAGCTCCCACAGGCCACTCAACCCAACAGAGGAGCTCCCATGGGCTGGGATTCTTGGTCTGCAAGGAGCTGGCATCAGCTTGGGTGAGTCCGCCTATGAATTATGCCAGGCCATGAGGGACACTAAGGCTGGCATCCACATACCTTCCCCTCTTCATGCCCTCCTGAACCCAACAAAGGCCTGGGGAAGGGAAGAGAGATGAGAGTGATGGGTGAAGTAGATCCTCAGGTCCCTGGGCCCCCCAACTCTGGAACCTCCATGGGGACGTGTCCCCACTAAGGTTTCAGATCAGCCGATATGTAAACACACTGCACCCCCAATCACAGGGAGCCAGCCCCAGCCAAGGCAGCCTCATATTGCCCCTTCCTGTGTCCACTCTGACCTCTCCCCACCCCTTCTCTGCATCCCTTTCCTCTAGGAGAGCCCATCTAGACTAGCCTTTGATTTTTCTCCCTGCACCTGTCCCCTCTATTTGCCCTAGCTCTGTGACTTGGAAAAATCTCCTCTTTTCCGTCCAAGAGCACTCTGACTGCCGACAGTGTATCTCTCCCTTTTCATGGAGTCCTTCTTGATCTACCCTCAGAAGAGTCCTCCAACTCCCAAGCCTTTGACAACAGAGCCTCATACAACAACCACACAGTGCATCTAATTCTGAGCAACTTCCTCCTACCCAGGTTTCCCGTCTGGGCGCACCACTCCCCCTGATGCTTCAGCCTCCAGGAGCTGAGAGACTTACTAGGGTCCACATAGGCCCAGCTGGGGTGGAGAGGCACAGCCGAGGGGGCTGGGGGAAAGGCCCCTGCCTTCAGCCCCTCCCCGGAGGTGGCCTCCTCATAGGAAGGTGGGGCTGAGGGCACTGCTGGAACCTCCTTTTTCTCTCCATTCGTCTGCTGCTGCCCCTCTGTCCCAGGGGCCTTGTTAGCCACGGAGAGCTGTGGAATAGAGACAGAGCGAGAAGGTCACCAGGGAAAGGGCACCCTCCAAGCCCTCTCCAGCAGGCCCTCAATTCCTGGAATTTCCATGAGTACCTTCTCACCTGCACTGGGCGGGGGGGGGGGGGGGGCTGCAAATAAGAATCCCCATTTTATGTGAGCTATATATAAAATGGTATATTGTTCAGCCTTTAAAAAGAAGGAAATTCTGCCAATTGCAACAACATGGATGAACCTGGAGGACATTATACTGAATGAAATAAGCCAGACACAGAAAGACAAGTACTGCATGATCTCACTTAATGAGGAACCTAAAACAGTAGAACTCATAGAAGCTCAGAGGAGAATGGTTGCCAGGGGTGGGAGTGGGGGAAATGGGAAAACGTTGGTTAAAGGGTACAAAGTTTCAGTTATGCAAGATGAGTTCTGGAGAGCTAATGTGCAGACCGGGGACTATAGTTAACAATAACCGTATTGTCTACTTGAAATTTGCTGAGAGGGTAGATCTTAAGTGTTCTCATCATACACAAAAAACGGTAATTATGCTAACTAGCTTGACTGTGGTGATCATTTCACAATGTATGCATATTTAAAAATATCAAGTTGTACACCTTAAATATATGCCATTTCTATTCGTCAATTTTACCCCAATAAAGCTGGGAATAAAAAAAGAATCTCTCTATTTTATAGATGGGAGAACTGAGCTCCAGGAGGGTCGGGGCTGGCCAGAGGCACACAGTGGAGCTGGGACAAGGACTGAGGAAGGAGAAAATTCTCAGAAGAGCCCACCATTCTTGGTCACTGTCCCCGGGGCAAAGGAATGGGTCTGTACGGTTCCAGTGTTTCCCTAGGTTCCAGGGAAGGGCCTGGCATAAGTAGGCCCTCAAAAATATTATCGAATGAAGGGTTCTCTCATTCATTTAATCTCCCTGCTACCTGAGGATCAGAGAGGAAGAATGACTCAGGCAAAGTCACAGAGCCACGTGTGGCCCATCGGGCTGCAGGGCCCAGGCACCATCCACTGGTATTAGCCTCCTTCGGCTGGGCTGGAGAAGATACAAGGAGGGTGGGATGGGAGAATGGGGAAACAGAAACGGGGAGGAGAGAGAGAAAAGAAGAGGAATGGGGACTGCACGGTGGAGGAAGGGCAAGAGGCCCCGGCTAAGGGTCCTGTTCTGGCCTTGTCCTATTGGAGCCCCAGCCTCTCCCCCAAGCCAGAACAGAGTCACAGAATGTCACTGCTGGAAGGACCTCAGAAGGCATCTAGTTCAGCCTCTTCCTGCATTTTACAGATGAGGACACTGAGGCCCAGAGGGAAATGTGCCCATGGCAGGTTGATATGCCCCCTACCCCACAATGTACACGTTTAGCTTTGGTGAGGGGGTAGGAGCTATGAGGGCCTGAATGATGCAGCCAAAGAGTGGAAGACTGGGGTGGAGGGGTGTGTGAAAACTGAAATACCAGCAAAAGGACTGAACCTCAGAAAATAGGATTTAGGTCTGATTCCAAAAAGAATGTGTTAAACCTCAAGGGCCACTGAGGAAGACTGCAGAGTTCCTTCTCTGCAGGGCGCATCTAGCTGAGGCAGCCCAGACACGGACAAGTACCGGAAAATCTCTGCTTCCATCCAGCCCTAAGGAATATTGAACTGGGAGGTCTTTTCCACCACCAGAGAGCCTGTGACCAAGCTGGGGGTGAAGGGCAGAGGAGGCAGGGGCAATACAGTCCCCCCAGGACAGGAAGCAGTGTCAGCAAAGTGACTGGTGGAGGTCAGGGTGGGGAGTAGAGGGAGAGGATCAGCAGATCTTCATTTTCATCACAGTGAACACCCCCAGGCCTCCTTGGGGAAGGGCCTGGGAGCCCAGGCCTGTGGGAACGGGGCTCTGGCTCATCTGTTTCCCTCCCACTCCCCACCTCCTTCCTCACCCAGACCAGAAGGGACACGCCTAGAAAACCCATTGCAGCCCACCAGAACCAAGGTCCTCTGAGCCCAGACCCAGGGCTTGTGTCTGGGAAAAGGATTATCACCTCTGACTTCAGCCCTGTGCAAAGCTGGTCCTCCTCACCAGTGTCCCCCCCCCCCCCCCCCCCCAGCCGCTCAGCACCCCCAGAGCCTCCTGGGCCCTGCCCCCCATACACACACATCCGGCATTCCCAAGTGAGGTCTGCCCAATGGCAGGAGGTGGTATCACCCAATGACATCATTTTGAGGCCTGATGAGCTTAAAAACAGGGAGAGGAGGGTCTGAGAGCCCAAGGAAGGATGCCATTGGCTCTGAGGCTCATCTCAGAGAAAAGAAGGGGAGTGTAGGGGAGGTCCCTCTTCTGTTTTCTCTGCCCAATCCTTAGCACCCCCAAACAGAGGGCCCAAGGACCCTCCCCCTTTGCCCCAGGACCCAGTGTTGTATAATTCCACAGGCTGTTGACGTTACATAACCCTACTAGGCCAGCCAAGTCTCTGCGCAGCCCCTCCCCTACATTTCAGGCCTAAAACTGGAAAAAAACAGATGTTTTTTCCAGTCTCATCCAGTCTCACACCTGGCCTAAACCAAAACAAAAATTAGAGCATCCTGATGCAGGATTGCCACAGTAACCCCCCAACCAAAGGGGATGTATCCAGATGTGCAATAATGACAGGGAGTTGGGTTGGGGGGTGTTTCTGTGGAGGATGGGAAAGATGAGCATAATGTGGTTGGGGTTGGGATTGGACCAGAGCTGGATGCCCCAGCATGCACACACACAGACACACACACTGGACACCTAGGCTGACTCCTTAAGAGGGCCTGGGCACCTGTGAAGGGTCCTGTGATACCAAAGCCCAGGGTGGAAGGGAGGAGAGGTGAGCCTGATGGGCGGGGAACCTTGAAATGGGCCTTTTGATTCTCTGACTTCAGCAAGGACCACAGAGGACCTTTGCACAAGGGAGGATGCCTATAGTGGTCCTGAGAGCTCGCTTAGGATGACAGGGGTCTGGGGAGCAGGAGGATGGAGGATGGTTCAGGCGGGGGAGACGCGGTACCTTTCCCTGGGTCATGGTGCCGTCTCTCGGGGAAGGGGTCCCTGAGGCAGGGGCGGCCGCTTGGGTCACCGCAGCCTGCCTGCGTCTCTTCTTTCCTCCGCGTGGGTTCTAGCAACATCCACTGCAGCCGGGCCAGGCGGACCGGAGCGTACCATCCGGGCGCGGGGGGAGGAGGGGGCCGGGGGCGGGCCAGAAGGCTGCTGCGGAGGCCGCTGCGGATTCGCGAGCCGAGGGGGCGGAGGCTGCGCACCGCCCCCTCCTCCTGCCCCCTCCATTCTGGTACCCTCGCCCGGGGGACCAGGGAGCGCCGCGCTGCGAAGCAGCCCAAGTGGATGGGTCCGCGCGGGCGGGAGGAGACGCGGGGACTCCGTGACACCGGACCAGCTGATGCTGTCTGCCCATGACTGGAGCTGGGTGTCAGGACCTTATCTCTCCTCCATCTCTGCTGCTGACAGGCTCTGCCTTTTTTCCCCTCCCTCTTTGGATGCGGCCCTGATTTCTGCCTCCCATCTCCGTCTGTTTCATCATCCACCATAGAGGGGGAAAAAGTCTCCAACGTCTTGCCTACCCCACCTGGCTCCTAACAGGGCCCCTGGGCCCTAAGTTCCTATGGGCCTTTGGGCAAGCCATGTGGGCATCTCTCCTTGCCTCCCTTTTCTCTCCTGTGAAATGGGAGCAATAGGCCACTCCCTACCCTTTCTCAGAGACATGGTGTGGGAGGATGCAGCTTATATTTTTTTCAACCCTACTGGAACATTTTACTAGGTCTTTCTGGAGACACCTCTAGTTTTGTCTCAAAGCCTCACCAACCCCCTGCACTGCTCCTTTTCTGCTCCTCTCTCAGCCTCCATGACCCCTGTCTCCATCTGCTCTCCCACCCCACCCCTCCTTCCAGAGCCTGTCCCATCCTCTTTCCCAGGCCTGTCCTTGGGACTCCGCCATCACCAGGTCCTGTTTTCTGCAGCTGCCGCAGTGTTACTGTGAGGTTTGCAATCTCAGAAGCTGGGCTCGAGTCCCAATTTAGTCATCCACTGGCTGTGTGACTTTGGCAAGGCCCTTAACCTCTCTGAGCTGCCGCATCTCCTAGGGACAGGAGGATAACAGCAGAGCCCTGTCCTAGACTGACTGTAAGACACAAGGGTGATGGTGTTGAAAGCAGGTTGAAGGCCACAAAGTGCTGCTAGCGTGTGAGGTATTATTAACTGAGGAATCCCTACCCGAGTGTCTTGGACTGCCCCAGTGTGAGGAGTCAGAGATCTGCCTAAAAGAAGGATCTGAACCTCATAGGACGGGATGAGAAACCAAGACCTGGTGCAAGTGGGAGTGGCCCCTTACCTTCTGCTTCCCCGTCATCTCTCAGCTAGACCCCCGTAGAGACCAGTGAGAAAGCAGGGCCCTGGGTGGGCAGGTAAATTATCAAAGTCTTTATTCCACTTCCACTTGCCTGTTGTCCCCCACTCCATAACCACTGACTTCCCGCCCACACATTTAAGCCTGGGCCTCCCTGTTCAGAGGCTCTCTCAGCCCCGATAAACCTGAGACCCTCCCCATCCCCTCACTTTCCTTCTCCCCAGCCCTGCTCCTCAACCCCTTCCTCCTGCAAGCTGCCCGCTGGCTCCCAGCGCTGCAAGCTGGAGCCCTGCCCCTCCCTCTCTGCATCTGTGTTCTGGAGGAGTTTTCCTTTTCCTATTTGACAGCTCAAGTGCTGCCTCCTCCAGGAAGCCTCCTTGGCCCCTAGTCTGGGTTAGATGCTTCTCTTCCGTAGTTTCATAGCACCCTGCCATAGTACCTGTCACGTGACCCTGTGGGGTTTCTCTGTCTCCCCATTAGACACTAAGGGAGCCTGTCTGTAGCAATTTCTGTGTCGGCAGGACTGAATACTGTGCCCATTGTGTGGAACACACTCAATAAATCCTAGCTGCTACTATTACCCGGACACTTGGTGTTACACGGAGCCTGACTTTATGTAGGCCTTGACGCTCTCACATGTTTGCGAATCCCACCTGCTCTTTCTCTCCCCATTCACTCCACTCCCACCACACAGGCCTCTTGCCTTGACTGGGCCAAGCATGCTCTTAGCTTAGGGCCTTTGCACTTGCTGTGTCCTCTGCCTGGAATATTTACAGATGGCTGCATGGCTCACTCCCTCACTTATTCACGGCTCTGGTTGGGCATCACCTTATTGGGGGGGAGAGTCTTCCTGATCCTATACAAAGTAGCAGTGCCACCGACACACCCCCATCTAGCTCATTGGACAATCCCTTTTTCCTGATGCAGCTTTATTTTTTCCATGGCAATTGTCACCTCTGACATATATTTTTTGTTTAGTTTTTTTTTTTTTTGTCTCTCTCTCTCTCCCACTAGACTATCAGCTACATGAGAGGAGGCATTTTGGAGATTTTGTCATTGCTCTGCACTCATGGGTTAAAATAGTGCCTGGCATGGAGGTAGTAGGTGCTGGATAAACGTTTGGATGAGTAAAGCACAGTATTATACAAAATCCTTATATTCCTCAGAAATTTTGACGTTGTTGGCGCTATGATGTTTCTCAGATGTTGGACCTATTACCTTGACGTCACTTATACGTCTCTGTTACGTGGTCTTTGGACATTACCCAGAGGTTGGAATGTTTGTCTGACATTCCTCGGGCGTCTGGAGGCAGTAAGGTGTGGTGTCAAGAGCATGGATTTCAGAGCCTGGCAGCCTTGATTCTGATCCCAGCTTCTCCCCTTGGAAGCTGTATGACTCTGGACAAGTTCGTTCCCCTCTCAGAGCCTGTTTCCTCATTTGTAAAAAGGGGGACGGTGACAGTAACAACTTCATGAAGTTGTAGAGAGGATTCACTGATAATATATGTGAAGTGTTTCCCACAGTACTCGGGTACCTAATCATCTCCTGGCGTAAGCTATTAGCCTTAAGGGTTCCACAAATGTTTAATAAGGTAATTTCCACCCTCGTAAGGCAGCTCAGTTCCATTGTTATTCATTTGTCCACATCTGTCGTGCCGACCCCTGTGTGACAAGCTGTGGTAGAAGCTTTGGTGGTTCAAAGAGGAAAGGTCCATTCAGAGGTCACCCTGTGCAGCGCCGGGATGGGGGCAGCGAGGCAGGATGGCTAGAGGAAGGGGTGCCTGAGGGGAGCCGGGAACAGTTAGGGGTTCCCCAGGGGAGCCGGGGAGCTTGTTAGGCTCACATCCTTGAATCCCGAGCCGGGGGGATGGGCTTTACTCTGTTAGCATGAGGTGGGGCAGTAGGGGGGAGTTTCAAGGTTTTTTGAGCAGGGCAAGAGCATGTTCAAGTCACGCTTCAGAAGGGCCAAACTGCTGTAGTAAAGCGTTTTGTTAAACAAGAAGGAAAGATCAGTCTGTGAGCAACGTGTGGGAGGGATTGAAAGAGGGAGAGGCTGAAGGTGCAGTGCTGAGCATGGAGACCTCGTGAAAGTTCTTGTGACAGAGGCTCCGAGCCCAGACATTGGAGCAGGCTGCCTGGGCTCAAATCCCGGCCCTGGGTAAGATGCTTCACTTCTCTGTGCCTCAGTTTCCTCATCTGTAAAATGAAGATTGTGAGAACTAAGAGAGTTAGTATTGGTAAAGCCACTTAGAACAGAGCCAGGCATATAACTAGCACTCCATAATTGTTTGAGAATATAAAAGTAGACCAAATGATGCAGGGACAGAAAAGAGAGAGAGAGGCAGACAGCGTGGGGCAGGATTGACAGGACTTAGGAGAGGCTGGACGTGGGATAAAGGGAGAAGAGGAGTCAGAAGGGATGGAGGTTTGGAGGCTGGGTCTCTGGGAGAAAGGTGCCATTATTAAAAGGGAGGAAAGAGCCGATGTGTTCAGATGGGGTCAGGCTGAGTTTGTGGTGCCCATGGGACAACCAGGTGGAGATGTCCAGTAGGCAGTCGGCTAGAGGCTCCTGGCATCCAGAGAGAAGTCTTACACAGCTCAGGGGGCACCATGTACTGTATTCTAGGAGAATGCCACTTCCCTTCCTGCCCTGGAGCCCAACCCTGGGGCCTCATGGAGTTGAGCAGTGTGGTCACTGGGGACTGGGCTGGATTTGGGGGTTTGGGACTCCTTGGTCATCGGCATGTGGACAGTGGCTGAACCATGGAGTATGTGAAGATATCCCTGGAGAGTGAGGCCAAGGAGAGAAGTGGGGGAAGAGCAGACCCGGAGAAGCACCTGGGTGGGGCGGGGAGACATAAGGAAGTCCTCTCTCCCCTCTGGAATCCCCCTCCCTGTCTTCAGCCACCAGGCAAGGTGAAAGTGGAGAGATTCAGAGACGATGCATCAGTGTCCTCAGGGCTGCTCCTGGGGGCCGGGGAGGCTGTGGGCCCAGCCGTTTTCCTCTCCCCTCCTTGCAGGCCCACGCCGTGGCGGCCCATCCCGCTCCATGTTCTGCTCTGGTTGCCAGTCAGCTCTGTCTGGGGCAAGTGCCAGAGAGGTGAGGGAGCCGAAGGTGTGGACAGAGGTGATGCTTCTCATTTTACAGCCGTAGAAGCAGAAAGCCAAAGACTGAGTGACTAACCCAAAGTTACATGACGTGGTGGGGGTCAAGCCCAGGTGAGAAGAGCAGATGTGCCCCTAGCTCAGGGACCATCAGCCCAAGAATGTTTCAGTCACAACCTTTAGACTAGGGGTGGGGCAGGGGTTGGGAGGTTCTCAGGCTTCCTAGGTGGGCAGAATCAGAGCTATCCAGGCACCTCTCTCCAGATCCTCACCCAACCCCGCAACGTACCCAGACCTGCACACGCAGCCTGCATCGGCCCCTGCCCCCCAGGGTGAAGGGAGACCCTGTGCATTTGAGGCCAGTGATGGGGGGAGGGGCAGAGGCAGGGGCTAGAGCTCAGGTCCCTCACAGTAGGCAGGTGTCTCAGGGTGGGCTGCAAGAGGTGGTGGTCCAGGAGAGCTCCACAACCCAATGCACCTTCCTGGGCATACCTGGGCCCCAGCCATGGCTGCCTCCCACAAATTTCAAAGCCTGTCATTGCCCTGCAGGCCCCCAGCACCCACCTCTCTCATTCCTCTCCGTACAGGCCTTTCCTACCTCCCCACCCCTTTCACCCACCACCCAGCAGCCCTGCAGCAAAGAACTTGACATCCTGTACTGGTCAGCCATAGCCTGGTTGCACAACCCCTCTATGCTGGG